CACTAACTATATAGGCATGCCGATAGCCGTTTCAAAAATTTATTTATACTGATATGCATTTATATAGGCGGCCTGCGGATGTAACGTAGGTACTTAGGTATGCGGAACATAGATATGGTGTCATGACGGTTTACGAGGCCTCTACTTCTCACATTTTGCTATTCCAGATTTCAATAGAGCTTTGGTGTCTCATTTTAGCAAAACAACAAAGAATATCATCTCTTCGTCACTTTACACCTTAACCGCTGCAAATTTCAAAGCACGAACCAGTCTAAGATCACCCACCGTGCTGAACAAAATTGACGGCTATGTAGCATTTACATTGTAATATAAGCCCTTGTTCTGTCTAAGGCGACATCGTTTATCGCACCATCAGGTGAAGCTAAAGGGGTATTTACAGCCATGAACTGTAACACTCGTTGTTTACCACTCTATCGTCACCACAATCTTTGTGACCATAAGCACTAAGCAGACAACCTTCGTGCCCCACTAAAGGCGCAACAATAGTAAAACAGCGCTGGGGCATAGTACTGAGCCGAACAGCGCAAAATTGGCAATCTGGGCTGCATCCAACGTCCGATAATGCCGCTTGGGTTATCGATTCCACTTTCTTTGAAGGAGCTACGAGCTTCCACGTAGTAAGTTACTACTGCGAATACTACTAACTTGTGCAATATGCATGTGCAACGCAATTCCGTCATGAGTACACAGCAAAACGCAACCGAAGCTCGAGCACTTATGCGCTAATCCTACGATAGGAGACATTCAAACGCAGCCTCGGCGCCGCCTCCATCCGATACGATACGATACACGGAATTTACGACAGGATATAATTCAGCTATCAGCCGTCTCGTAAACCCGCGACCGATACAGGAAAAATGGAGCGATAAATTCTTACAGCTTCCTTACGACGTCATCCGTGACGCCGGTCGAGTCCCAAAAATCTCCGGGATGCCGGCCCTGAGAGGATCCTGGTTGAACGCTCCCGCTGAATCCACGGAAGCAGCGGCGCCGCGCGTCACACATAGTGGAGAGCGGGGCCGTCCGACCACGATGGGACTCTGACCACTACAGCAGAGATACCTCCACTCGACTCTTCGGCATCTCTGTGCTACAAATCCGTACCACAGCGCCGCGGCAGTGTCCCACGGACCTCCCCGACCTACCGCACGCGTCCGCAGCAGGATGGAGTTGTCAGGGCGACTTCCGGCAGGGACCGGCTCATCTGTCTGTGCCGCCGTCGCCCCAACACGGCTGGGTCAACACCGCACCGGGTGAGGGGGACCTACCGGGATCTACATGGCGGGGGAGGAGCGGGGATCCGAGCAGTGCGGAGCATGAGGTAAAGGATAACTGGTGAAAACGATTGTTGGACTTCGGGAAGAAGGAGCGCCAGGCTGTAGTGATTTGCTAAGCCAACAAGGATGTTCGGGGATTGAGTGAGTATTGCGGGCAATCACAGCCCAAATTGTTCAATCGTTCATCATCAGGATGGTATAACATGCATCTTTTCACCACGGTCATCTTTTTGTAACTACAAGAGGTACATTATAAATCCTAAATAATCCGCCGTGTGCGACGTAGTCACTTTGTAGCGCTTATTGCGGCGGCGGCCGTTGACCTACGGCCGTGAAATTTTACAGCGATGTGGGCCACATCTACACGTAGGTCGTATTAACTTTTGGACATGATGCGGCCAAGGGTGCGCCCGCGGCGCGTGCTCGCGTGCCCATAGGGTTAACATTAGAATCGGCAAAAACACGCTATTGCTCGGGAACGGTAAGGTCTACGGGGGTGAAATTTTCACTGCAAGTCGGACGCGTGCACTCATTTGTCGTATTAAATTTTCGAGGGGGTTGGTTCAGCGGTGTGCACGTGGTGGGGCCGCGACCGGCGCCGAGCAGAGGGCACGTGCTTTAGGCTCAGTTGTTCGCTTAGAAAACTGAGTGAAAAGCATCAGAGCCAACGAAGGCCGACACAAGGCACCGCTCGCCAAGGGGATTCGCCAGTAAATACAATTAATTTGTTTTTGCAATATCTCAGCCGTTTCTGGGCCGATTTAGCTGAAACTTGGACTGTCGGTGGAAGTGTAGTGTAGGGTAGGGTAGGGTAGGGTAGCGTAGGGGATTGTAGGGTAGGGTTGGGTAGGGGATTGTAGGGTAGGGTAGGGGATTGTAGGGTGGGGTAGGGTAGGGTAGGGTAGGGTAGGGTAGGGTAGGGTAGGGTAGGGTAGGGATTGTAGGGTAGGGTTGGGTAGGGGATTGTAGGGTAGGGTAGGGTAGTGTAGGGTAGGGTAGGGTAGAGTTAAGTAGGGTACAGTTAGGTAGGGTAGGGTAGGGTAGGGTAGGGTAGGGTAAGGGTAGGGTAGGGTAGGGTAGGGTAGGGTAGGGTAGGAGTAGGGTAGGGGTAGGGTAGGGTAGGGTAGGGTAGGGTAGGGTAGGGTAGTGTAAGGGTAGGGTAGGGTAGGGTCGGGTAGGGTAGGGTAGGGTAGTGTAGGAGTAGGGTAGGGTAAGGGTAGGGTAGGGTGGGGTAGCGTAGGGTAGGAGTAGGGTAGGGTAGGGTAGGTAGGGTAGGGTAGGGTAGGGTAGGTAGGGTAGTGGTAAGGTAGGGTAGGGTAGGGTAGTGTAGGAGTAGGGTAGGGTAGTGTAGGGGTAGGGTAGGGTAGGGTAGGGTAGGGCAGGGTAGGGTAGTGTAGGGGTAGGGTAGGGTAGGGTAGGGTAGGGTAGGGTTGCGTTCAGTAACATCCTAACTTACAAAGGGCTCGAACAACTCGCATGCATCACCATCATACTTTACAGTTCAATTAAAAGCAGTTACCCAGTTCTACAAAAATCATACCAATAAAAATGCAAGTTTCTACACCCAAACTAATGCATCCGTTAATCATACATATCAAAACATACAGTTATCGCGTAAACCTGTACCTCTAAACCTTGTAACTAACCGTGTATATGTGGTTGCCAATCTCATACTGTGAGAAATGTTAGATCGTGACACTGACTGTCGACAGGCTCGTCTTTGCTCCTCTAGACAGTTTTCAGCTGGAAGGAATTTCCTTTCCAGGTGGATTTCTGCAAGTTCGCAGCGACCGCAAGTCAAGGTGATGAGACTTTGCCGAGGTTTTTCCCGAACTCGCCACGGAGGCAGTCGGTGAGAAATCTGCATTGAAGTGAGCGGACAAAGCACCTGGTCACACGAATACGGCAGTCAGTTGAGCCAGCCGTAATCGTCCAGCGCGACTAGACGAGCCGATATTGCCAGTTTGCGGTGAATAAGCTGCAGTATAGAGGCAAACGACACTCAGATGACCAAAAAATTGGTCATGATCTCGTGAGAAAATGCCGGATCATTCGTACCCTAACGGCACGAATGACAACATCATCATTTTTTCTAATCCTGATGTATCTTCTTCCCACCCTGAAGTGACGGTCGCCGTTGGTTGAAAATTGAAATGTGCAATAAAATGTACCGCATCACGTTTGCTCAAAAACGTGCATCAATAGAATATGTGGTATGACGAGTATAAAGCCGGGAAATGGAGATAAGAGTAAGGAAGATGAGTACGTGACAGTTTATCATATCTGCCAGCATCATAGAGTGACGGGACCATCTGCAATGCGCGGGCTCATAGCACACATCCGCGTCAAAACAGTCGCAAAAACGGGCACCGTCTCATCCTCCAACCACGCAAGAAACAGAGGGGGAACGGAAACACCTTCCTTTAACCCTACTCCTACGTCCATGTGAAGAGGGATGCCGGCGAACAGCGGGCGGTGAGCGGAGAAGGGCGTGTCCGGTCGGTGGCCCGGTGGGATCCCGGTGAGCTCAGGGCGTGTCCGAGGCCACCAGGTCGTGACCGGCCGCTGCCGGTAACCGCCACAGCGCCGTTATGGGGCCAGCGGCACGCGCCGAGCGGTGAGACGGCCGCTTTTCAGAAGAGGGGCCGGGCCGGAGACGGAGACGGGATGACTGCAGATACAGGAATAGAGATGAAGACGGGACTGACTGAAAACAGACAGAGACGGAGACAGACGGGGAGCGCTATAGAGACGAAACTAGAAATGGTGATCAGGAAACGAGAATGGAATTGAATATATAGATCACGGAGAAACAGGAGACGATCGGCCTCGCAGTTGCAACACACGTTGATCAGCCTCGGTCTGATCGGCGCCATCGCCCCAGGAAGAAATGCATGTTTGCCGCGGAGGCCGTGTGTTTGCCGGTAAGACGCCGGATGGAGTATTGGAGCGCGCGTGCAGCGCCCCGCGCGCACGGCGTAAACAGCAGAGCGTCGGCAGCGCGTGCATTCAGGGAATCCGGAGTTTTTAGTGGCGGCCGATCGCACACCGCCAAACATCGCTCCATTATCTGTGCTGTTAGCTGGGAGGTGATGTGCAAGTCAGCGCGTTTTGTCAGCACCGGCTGCCGCGCATGTGGTATCTGCCGTTAACTTTTTACACAGCTAGATTGCATGCAAATAAAACAGAGCGTTTTTTTTTTTGTAAGCATAAGACTATAAAAAGAAAACTTTTAGATAATACCTGCACTAAAAAAAAACTATAGAATACTAGCTCCTATAAACATGTCGTTTGCCGCGGCGATGACCACTCTAGGCACCATTTATAGCTCGTTCTGGTATGTTCTTCGCCGTTCGATACGACTTATCTTCAGACAGCGTTGTTTGCCCTCGGAGAACTTCAGACCGAGTCGGGAATGCGGCCGTATCTGGCTCTATCGGTCCAACTAAGGTCCAACTCAGACAGCAGGCCCATCTCGGACCGGGAGAGACGCAGCTGGTCCATCTGACACGACCAGAGGCGATGTGAGGCAGAAAATGAGATATAACTGAAGACTTGTCATCATGGGATGTAAATATTTACGAGTACAAAAGCAGCATGACGGATAATGCTGCGACTGTGCTTTTGGCGCGCACGCCAGGGCTCGTTTATGTTGGCTAGTCGGCGTGGGTTGGGAATGGTCATTGGTCAGCCAGCACTTACCTTGATAAGGAATGAGTTGATCCATTTTGTGAAGGTCTTTTTCTGGATGTGCAGTCGCTCCTCCTGCAGGGCCTTAATTCGGCCCGTCTCGAAATTTTTCACATCCTCCTTCTGGTTCAGATAGTCATACCCACTGCTCCCGTCTGTGCTCATGGCTGCCGCCGGCGGCGCACGCCGCGCGCCGCAATAGTCACTGCGCGGCCCACTGCGCCGCTATTGTCACTGCGCGGCGTATCACTGAGCCGCGATCGTCACTGCGCGGTGTGTCACTGCACTACGACTGTCACTGCACCACTACTGTCACTGGTATTTGCGCGAAGAAGCCTCGGATTCATATCACGAACCCTGAAGCACAGAAAGGGATCAGTTAGTCATGCCATGCACTGTGAGCCCACACTATGGGAGAGGGCTCAGAATTCAACAGTAAATAATATAGGTACACTTGGCAGATCAGACAGTGAAAAAGGCTTCGCAATCTGACTACTCTCGGGACAGCAAGATAGTAACGATAATGGTCACTGGCAGACTAGTTCTTGAGCATTGCAGTGCATATGTTGGTCAAACTTTAGCAAGTTAACTCACTAAACAAAAAATGGTACAGAAAAATTGTCGTCAATGGGCACTGAAAGTCGCTACCCCATGACTGGACTACTGCTTCGTACTGCCCGCCATTGTCCGGGACTTTCTGACGAGGGTGACGAACAATGGACAGACAGGGCCGACGGCAAAAATGACAGCACTAAATTGGTGCAGCTTCCCGGAACGGAGGGCGTGCGGCAGCAGAAGCGGGTCAACACACTGAAGGCGCACAGCGGCTACCCACAGCAGCGGCTGGGACCAAGGCGACTGAATTTCTTCTGCAAGTTTTAACAGCCCATACATGAGAAGCTTGCCGAGGCAGACAGGGTCACAAGAGCACACTTTGTTTGAGCACACAACAAACAAATCAGCACCAGCACCAGTCCGTGGTGGCCGCACCGCCGTCGAACCTACCGCCGCTCGGTAACGGAATGACACCCGACGCCAGGCCAGGGGCCGCGCCGTCGAAAACACGACCGCGCGACACCGGAGCCGTCCCGCCGGCTGTTTTTACCAGCTCGGTGGGCCGCTGACTGACTCACTGCCGGGCGAGAGGCGGCTGTCGAAGCTCTCAGAGCTGGCGGAGCTGCTGGGCCGAGCTGCGCGGCGCAACCACCCCGCGGCCAATCCGGCCCGGTACTGAGCGGCCGCCCGCCGGGCCAGGCAGTCAGCTGACAGCAGTGGACCTCTGCCGGCCGGTCGGCCGGCCGGCGCGGCGCCGAGGTCCCACGCGCAGTCGAGCGCATTGTTCGGCCAGCGACCAAGCGGTACGTGATCGCACTGCAGCCCAGCAGCCCGGCTATTGTCCGCAGTGTAGATTCAGGGAGCCAGTGCGGCTCGCCTCATGGCTGGGCTGGCTCAGGTCAGGTCAGACCCGCACCTGCAATATCGGGTCACTCACACAGCCCGACGAGTCATCACCGCCAGCACTCTACCAATCCTGTGAAGGCGTTGAATCAGATAAAGCCGAGACAATACTCTAGCCGCCGTGCACACTGCTCCCACATAAATCCTCAGCTGATCAAAAACCACCCACAGGCCACAACACTGGAGCGGACGGACAGAAGTGTGTGACATCTGGGACAATACGACGACTCTCCTGAACGGGTCCCACGCCGGAGATCGTCCCGAGATGTCGGTCATTATTTATGTGACGGCCGGCCCTACTGTGAGAAATGTCTGTTTGCGCCGATGGCGAAGGCGAGCTCAGGCCGCACGTCGCGGGTATAAATCGCCTGGTGAGCCGGCGCGGCGACAAAAAGTCGTGGTGAGCACGACTCACCGGCCGGTCAGCTGAGCGGCGGGGAGCCGAACAGGAGATATCGGCCCCAAATCGGCCCCAAACAGGGGCTCCGCCACAGGGGGGGTCGCGGGGGTCCGGACCCCCTCAATAATTTACCTGGGGGGTACAGTACCCCCCAATATTCCAGATACCTACCTATAAGCTTGTTTTCGCGTAAAAATGACTAAATCATTCACTATATGCATTTTGAGTGTGTTGACAGTCGTATAGCTAAGGAACTGAAGATCTAGAAATGTAGGGAACCCTTAAAATGTCATAGCAGACGAAGTGCTCGACAGTGACACTCACCGGTCTACGTGGGAGTGTCATCATTTCGCCATTTTTGTTATTACTATGAATGCATTTAAGATGGCTAGGATTAGCTAGGTATGCTAGAATTTGGCTATAATTTTGCGAGGGGGTCCAGCTTGTAGGGCACCTCATTGACACAACACCTGCCCTAAGAGAGCTTCAAATCGATCTGAGAATCCTCTTTCAATGTGAGGTCATCCTATAGTGTCGGGGGTCCATGTCGGTCCTTCAGAGCACCATACTAGTCTAAGCATCCTCACACCGTTCTGAGGTAATCTGCAATATATCTGCACAGGGCTCTAAATGCAGGTTCGTAGAGGTAAGACGTTCACAAGTCACAATCCCAACAGCAAGTGGAGCATTTTGATATCCATTTTCAGGTCAGGATAGGTCACACTCATCACAGAGACTGAATCTGAATGTCAAACTGTTAGCCTCTAAAAGGACTCTAAGTTGCTTGATGAGGGCAGGGCTTTCAAATCCTTACAATAACTGCTAAAGCCCTGGGCTTTCCTTTAAGTACGGCCTAGGAGAGCTCTACACTGGCTTTAGAGCCTACGTAGATACCTGAGGGCCTATGTAGGTCCCCAAGCCCATGCCAGTCACTGAGAGTCCAATGCGTTCTCTGATGGCCAATACCTTCCGCCTTTGGAGCGCGCAACACTGACCTCTACTCCTCAAGAACGTCAATTTTAGAGGCCGCCATGTCGGTGTCAATAGGGCTCTGCTCCTCGGTTTTCGATTCCTTATGCAAGTGAACCTTTGTTTTGCAGTTTAAAGCAAACCTCTTCCAATACAATTGTTAAGTTTCTTTGTACTCAAGAAAAACATCAATTTTTCGTCGATTTCGGGCACTGCGGTGGGGGGGGGGGGGTGGCATCCTGGTGATTTCTGGCGTTGCGGTGGCATCCCCTTGAATGCCACCCTGGATCCGCCAGTGAGGTTTTGTGTTTTGGGTCGGACCCCCCCAATCCCAAAACCGTGGCGGAGCCCCTGGGCCCCCAAACAGCCAGCTGGTCTGTGGTCGGCGCGGCGAACAATCGCCACCTCAACCGGCAGATAGCCCGGGCAATTAATGACAGCCGACAGCGCAACTTCAAAAAACGCCGAGACATGAAATATGATACAGAGCCGGGACAGCCGCCAATAACGGGATGGGAGCTGGACCAGCCGTCAATAAAGTAACGGTGCCGCCGCTTGCCCGGCTTTCAGATTCGGTGGCAGGCGATCATTACACTACCGAAACTGCACCGCCCGACACGTCACCATTACCAATTTGGAAAATAGGCACCTAGCGTGACTCAATTGGACCGAAATACATGTGACAAATGAGTCATTGTGGCAGCCGTCGATGTTTCGGACACGAACGTAGCACCCTGCTACCACACTTCAATGCTCCATTCCACTCCGTCCAATTTCAGCTGCGGTTGTCCATTGTGTCCCCTGTGTTCGCTCCAGTACAGGCGCCCTGTCCCGTGTCCGCTGTGGCACGTGATGCAGCGTCAGACCTCTGGCGCCGTCCGTGGCTGCCGCTCGCCCGTCAGGCCGCCACCGCACCGTGGGGCCTCTGAGTGCCGACACCGTGACGCTGCGCTTCCGGCGGGTTAGCATCACGTCACCGGTTCCACTCCCAGACCCATCTCCACCTGGAGGTCCTCTCCGCCCGTGCCTCCCCACAGCCGCACCCGCAGCCCAGAGCACACACGGAACAGACAGTGCACAGCCCAGACTCTGAAGTCTTCACAGACCCGCCAGTCAGCCGGCCCGGACCGTTGCACCGAGACCAACGGAACGGCCGTGGGAGGCAGCTACCGACCAACCGACCGCCGACCGTGGCAGTGCACGTGACCGTGGCAGCGCACGTGACCGTGGCAGCACCGGCTCAGGTTCCGATCGGAGTCCATTCACGGTCCCTGACCGGCCGCGGCGCCCCGGCGCGGTCTGCAGTGACCGGCGCCCCGCGGCGCCCACCAACCGGTCACGGTCCGCTCCCCGGTCCCGTGGCCACTCTGACCGGCGCGGCGCCGTGACGCCGTCTGGCAGCTAGCCGGCGATGACGCGCCGCCGATGACGCACCGGCGGCCGACGGTGACGCCGCGAGCCTGGAGCGAGCCAGGAGCCGCGTCACCGGCCCGCCGAGACGCCCCTCCAGCGGACGTCCAAAGTGGAGCGAGTTAAACGATTAGCTCAGGTAAATGGATGCGGCGAGGGCGCATTCCGCACGCCGGGCTGATGGGTCGCATAGGCCGCCACTGCTGGTCAGCGGTCGGCCTTCCGCATAGCTGACCGAGCCGCCACCATAGTAACCGCCCCTGGCACCGGCGCGACGCATGTCACCCGTCACGCGTCTCCATTTTTGCATCCAGGCCTGCCGAAGGTCATGTGACCGTGCACCGTGCAGCCCCATTCGCCGGAGCTCCGGGCCGTGTGGACGGCTCGGCGGCGGCTGACCGCCGTGAGGGCACTGTGCCGCCACCTACCGGACGCTGTGGCGTCACGAACCGCGGTCAGGAGCGGCGGGAGGCGTGCCGGGGTCGCTGAGCGCCACTGCGGCTCTGAGAGCGCAGCTCCGGCAGCCGACAGGCAGACGGGAGCGCCACGGCGGCCGCCGCAGCTCCAAGAGCGGTGCTCAGGAGACGGCAGCGGCCGCCCGATCACCGCGGCTCTGAGAGCGGAGCTCGGCAAACGGGAGCGGCCGCCCGGTCACCGCCGCGCCGGCCCCAGCTGCATGATGATACCGACCCGGGAGCTAGCCGAGCCGCGCGGCTAGGTGTAATAGATGGCCGGCCCGCCCACCGCCATCACCTTGCCGTGTGTATCAGCGAGCTGCATCCGGGTTATCACTGATGACCCAACCTCCGCCCGGCGCACCTCTGGGCTGACGTCCCGCCCGACCCGCCCCTAAACACACATAGCGCGGCCGTTGGCGCACCCGGTAACATTTCGAATCAAACGCAGCGGCGCGCCTGGCGCGGCGGTCGGCCGGCGAGCGCGCGAGCCAGGGCCGACCGTTGCCCGACTGATTGGCGGCAAACGGGTGGTGGCTGTGCACTGTGCAGTGTGCAATGTGCATCAGCAGCGCACCACAGCGGTGGCCGCGGCCCACAGCAATCAAGACAACAGGAGCTGCGAACAGCCCCCCCCCCCACAGCGGCAACACCCTGGATAAGTG